TAATGTTGTTAGGAGAAAGAAAGGAAATAGGTTGCATGCACAGAGTCAGCAGTGCCAGCTCCACCTTCTTCATTATGCCCAAAACCTCCAGATAAACACTTCTTAAAACTAAGTCATAAACATACAATAATCAAATAATATGCAGTTTTGTATTGGTATGAAAAGGAAAATGGTATGAAGCTGTCAGGGGAGGCTTAGGTCATATATTAGGAAAAGATTTATTATCCAGAAGGTGTTGGGCACACAACAGGCTCCCCAGGGCAGTGGTCACAGCACCAAGGCTGACAAAGTTCAAGAAGTGTTGGGACAATGCTTTCAGGCACAGGGTGGGATTCTTTGGGCGCCTTGTGCAGGGCCACAAGTTGGATGATCCTGGTCAGTCCCTTCCAACTCAGCATATTCTGCGATTCAATGAATTATTACTCAATCTCCAAATTCATTAAAGAGCAGCTCTGGTTGTTTTGTGTCCTAGCTGTTAACTGGACTGTTAAATATGTTCTGCTATCTGTACAGCCACACAGGTGGATATATACCAGTTTTCCAAGCAGACTGGAAACTGTCTGAAATTAGACCTGCCTGACTGCAAGTCTGCCAGCCACAGGTGTACCTTGGATACACCTGAAGGGCAGAGCTGCTGCCTTAGTAAACAGGTATATTCATTTAGCACCAGGGTAAATTAACTGACTCATGAAGAAGCAGATGGTGTACAATCACTGTAAAACTTCCAAAATGTGAGCATTAAAAAAAAGGAAATGCTTTAATGCTTTTAGTCTACATTGGATTTGGTTTTTACAGTATTTTGACGGCAACCTATGTTCTCAAAATTAATGTTCCAGTTCTCAGTCACCACGTGATAGCATGCTTGGATAAAAGAGATGCATGCAACAAACCATAAAGGATTTTTGTGGGAGATGCCATACAAGCTAAGAATGTCCTTCAAAGCCCTTTTTTATTTTTTAAAGAAAAATGTTAATGCATAATTTTTTCTCAAGACAGCTATTATTTAATCAATTCAGTAAATCTTTTGCATTTGCAACAATCTAGTATAGAAAAATATATACATGTTCCAAAATCCAGTGTATTATTCCCTGAAAGAGAGAACTGCACAGTGCTGAGTAGATTAGATTCCTCCCAAAACATATAATAAGCAGCAATTTCAACTCACCCCAGAGATCCTTAGCTGTAACTTATTAGCATTCATGAGAACTTCTGAAAGACTCCTCCACCAACTGATGGTGCATCAGGGACCTCTTATCTCACTTTTTCAGACTTGTAAAATGTATTTCATCTGATTTCAATTTTTCAAGATATATTGCAATGAAGAATAGGTGTATGACTCTAACAATGTGAAGTTTTGCAGTTAACTCATTTTCAAACATTCTAGTACCATTACTGCTAGCATGAATATATGAAGATCCAGAAATAAAACAAATACTGATGAGACATTTTATAAATATCATAAATAGTTTATGCAGGAATCACTCATTAACTTCAAAGAACACTGGGACAAAGAGTACGAATCTATAAGTCTAATAATGTTTTTAATGTCGAACCCTTAATTTCCATCTCTTCTTCAAAGACACTATTAAATTCCTCCTGCTTCTCTTTTTCACTATCTCTTTGGCCAATCTTGATGCCCACCCATAGCACTCCAGATAACAGACACTAAAAGCATTTCCTGTTCAGAAATGCTCTTGATTAAACACCCTTTTTTTCAAATCTTGGTTTGAAAAGAAACATTGCTGCTGCAAACCGTGAGCAGACAGGAACAGCTCACCTGGCCTGTCCCACAGACCAACCACCTCATCACCACCTCTGTCTGGAGTCACCGGGCACTGAAAGCCACCAGCGCCTCGGCTTGGGCCGTGTGCTCCATCCTACTCCTACCCCCGCAACTCACCTGCTCACTTCAAGGCCTGAGCCATGCTGGGCTTTCTTCCCCACTGGCTAATAGGTACACTCTCTAATAAAACATCAAAAATTATTTTAGAAGACTGGTATGTGTGTAGTAGCAAATCTTAGAGAAACTCGTTAAAAATCCCCTGAGCAAAACATGGAAGGAATGTGTTACAGAATGTGCAAGGCAGCCTGCTGCTGGCCACAGCCGGGTCAATGCTGTAATTAATCCACATAATCCTGCTGCATAATCACAGCACCATCTCTCTCTCCTGCCCTGCGAGAGGCTGTTTGCAGATGCAGCAGCCATTTTATAAAGCCCATCAGAGAACACAGAGTGCTCTTTTTGGGTGAGCTGTGCTGTGCTCTCCCCTTCATTCTCACACAGTGCAGGTACTGTCTCTGGGGTGAACAGCTCTGTGCTGACAGGGACTATTTTTAGATCTCAAAAACAGCATTCTTCCCAACCTCTAGACACTGTGCCCTGAACCACATGATCAGCAAATCAGCACATTACTGCTGACTTCTGAGTCTTTTCAATCTTGTACAAACAACTTTAAACTTGTGTCACCGCAAGGTAACACAAAACAAATAATATTTCCCTAAATGTTTTATCTTTGATATAAATAACTTATTCAGAAAGAATTGCAAGAGGCAATTAAAGTACCTTGCTGAGTAACAAAACTTGGAAGGAACACAGTGAGAAATGACTCAAAAAGGATGTAGATCAAAAAGAGACACACGCACAGAAAAAGTCAAACCAAAAAACTCATTCATATCTTCCTCATTTTTGTTTTACAGATCTACTCAGAAATTTTTTACAAGACTAAAAAAGTGCCCTCACACAAAATTAACCAATTAAGAGAAGAATCCTTTAAAATTACACTAGAATAAACAGAAAAAGAGTTGGGGATGGAGGAGGAAATTATATAAATGTATCAACTGACATGGTCTACAGCTTTACTGTGTGACTGCTTACAGAAACCTACACCATCTTGTGGCCTCCTCATATCATTCTAGCTTAAATAACATCAACAAAAGCACTGGCAACATTATTGGTTTTTTAATATAAAATCACCCACTTTAACTTTTTGTACCTTTGAATAAGTTTTTCATGTCTATCAAGAAACATGGAAATTTGTCTATAAGAAAAACTGTATTCAAGTGACTTATTGAAAGCTAAATGATTAAAAACTCGCAAGGCACATCAAATTGACAGACCTCTTCCACGCATCTGGATCAAATCTGAAGTAAAGATCAAATTATTTTTCTATAAGTCTTGGCAGAATTATGGATTTCAGTTGAGTGAATATAAAATTCATTTTCACACCAAACAATTTAGTTACTTTTTAAGTAAATCACCCCAGACCTCCACTTCATTGGACAAAAACTGATGACGGGAAGTAAGCAGAATATTTCCATACAACTGAGAAGGAAATTCAAAGGCTCTTTCTTAAACTAAAAAATTTATGCCTTAGTTTCAGCAGCTGGAAAATTTTACAAAGAACTTCACTATCAGGAAATGAAAAACCAAAGAAAGTATTGAAAACCACATGGAAGTAAAGCAAGAGGTCTCAGAATACTTGTACTGCACGAAATAAGCCATTTCTGTGAATTCAACCTCATGTTATATTCATCTAGGAAAAGGTACACTCTCACCTGACATCACCCAGCACACAATAAAAAATTCAAAGAATCCCAGTGACAGAAATTGAGCTATAGAAATGAGAGGACAAGAAAAGCTATGAAAGAGTAACACAATACATATTTTAGTTATCTAAATCAATAACCTATGCTTTATGGCTTGTACAGCCAAGTGGAGCTTTCATCGAGCAAGCTGGGCCCTCTGCTTAGGAGCTCAGACCAAACTGTGCCTTTAGGCATATTCATCACTGCATAAAAGCTACCAATTATCCTGTCTTCAGGATACTTTTATCATACATTAACTACCAAAAAGCAAATTCAAAAATTTATTCCAGAGACATGAGAGGAAGGCTTTAACTCTGATAAATTAAATGTAAAATAATATTAAAAGCGGGGGGAAAAAGCCTAAAACTAAGTCTCTTATAAAGAATAATAACATTAAAAGAAAGTGGAAAATTATTTGAAGGAAATAAACATCACTAATGGAAACCACTGATGATAAGAAATAAATTATTCTACTAACAACCTTCATGCAGTATCTTTGGAAAGTGATAGCTGAAAAAGGAGAGAACAAGGTACTACTTCTGTATTTAGGGATTTTCTGTATTGGCTACGCACTTGGAATTTTTCCCCATGTTTCTACATCAGAATGTTTTTAATTTTACATTTATTAGCATGGTAAGTTTTCAAATAACAATTGTAGCAGCTTATAGTTCCTTTAAAAATATGCATGCTTTCAAGCAGATAACAATAAGTACTTTTATTACAATGATTTTGGTTTCATGTCATTGGTATAATAAAACATCTGCCCAGAAATCTCAATTTAATTAAGTCTATTGTGTCTATGCAAAAATATAGCTTTAAATCTGTGTTATTTCCCATACCCTTAAAAATAATGTATCAGGCTATTTTCATTATACTCCTTCCACAAAGATGCTTAACATTTAATTGCTGAGTGAAACAAATAATGTATTTCTAAGGCTCCATAGTCACAGAGACAACACTAGAAGATAAAAAAGCTGTGCAATTAAACACTGTTAAAATATAATAAGAAATCTGATCTTGTAATGTATTTTTTCAATTTTCCTGTCTACAGGCTTAAGCTTCTTCACAAAGCATCCCATGACACAATCCCTGACAAAGAAACACCTCAAGCATTCAATTATATACTTCAGCATTTGCCAAAAGCTTATTAAATTTGAACATATAAAATAACTTGCATCATCTCAAGGTATCAGACAAAAATGACTGTGTAGATTTTAAAGTGAGTGGTGCCCACTGTGTAAGAATTTAGAGTAGCTCTTGTCTGGTTTGAATGAACCAATGTCTGAAACATGGTCCCAATATCCCATTAGGATCTTTCAGCACTTAAAGGAATTAGTCCTTTGTTCCCCTAAATGCTGAGCAAACCATCAGCTGTCACCTAGAGGTGATGGACAGAAAGTCAGCATGTTACTCACCAATAAAGTAGTTGTTGCCTAATGCAAGCATTTCTTCAGAAAGGACAAGCCCACCCAGTGCCTGGAGAAGAGTGACACTTCTGCCATCAATGAGTGAACACTGTTTAAATCCAGTGCTTGTGACCTTCCATAGCAGGATGAGAGAAGCAGTAGCATCTTGCCTTATTCTAAGAAAAGAAATTATGAGAAAATTTACACTGAGGAAGTCGGTGTAATTAAGAAGTACATCACTGTAGAACTGAACCTTAACAAAGATGGGAAACCTAAATCTAGCAAGTATGGAATTAGGAAAAACCCTGAATGTCTCTAGCATGTCCACAGAACTTAAAAATGCTTCAGCTGTAAGATTTGCATAATAGTTTATGTAATAGCAGATTAAATCATACAGAGTCCCAATTTCTGATACTTGAAGGTCACCATCCTAATACCCAAGAAGAGTTTTAGATAAATACCACATAATAGTGAGGTATATCCTTAAGAGGGATCCTTATTCAGTCTTTTTAATTATGCCTTTTTCAGTATTACCTCCATCCTACAGTGCCATTGTTTTCTGCAGCTAAAGTACACCCAGCCCTGCTGTTTACTGAAGAACATTCAATGTTCACTCAATACCAGGAGACAGATCCTGCTAGAAATCCTCATTTGTCTGACACACCAGATCGAAGATTCAGGACAGTTTATTCTTGTAAATCAAATGAGTCATGTAATGCTCCCAAGGTCACTGAGCCCATGGTGCCTTCCTGAATATTGACAGATTGGATAGAAAGTCTACTGCTGCATCCACTCTGTCGGCTCCATTAGGGAGCTACATTATGCCAGTCTCTGTACTCACAGGGCACTGCTTCTCCTACTCACCTCCATAATGAAACAATAAAAATCTGTCATGTTTCTGGTAAGGTCCCAAGTATTTGCATTAATTTCCTATGAAGGAATCCAAAATGAGTTTGAACAAACCTCCAGAAATACAAACATAACTGCATCCAACTGCTAAAAACTGGTAATTCTCTCCTGCTGAAAACAGACCTTCAAATACCTAGAGATGAAGCTCTGTTCCACAATATTCTGTAATGAAATTATTTCAATTCTGCTAAAAACAAAGGCAGTTTATCCCTGTTCACTTGTTATTTGACTTCAAAACAAGAAAACCAAAGTGCAACAGACATTGAAAAAATCTTGCAACTAGATGTCATAAGAAGCAAATTTTTTACAGTATTTGCACCGTCTTTAAGAACCCCAATTGCTATTACAAAAGCTGAATGTCTCACTTTTAGAACAGGATAGCAACTGGTTTTACAGTTTAGGTCTCATATGACAATCAAAACAAAATCAACCTATTGAACTGAAATTATTCCCCTTTCAGAGATAGCCATTGAATCAGGTAAGTTCCTTGTGCTTTTAAGATAGTAAATGAAATAAAAATTGATCTTGACTTGCACTAATCTACTCAGGCATAAAACTCTACTAAATATATACAATGTAAAAATTATCAAAACCAACTGTGTACTCTGCAACCTCCTTTAAAACTGGGTTTCTCCATCAAGGCTCTTAAATACAACTTTAGAATCCACAAATGCTGGCTTTTTCCTGATTCCAAGAAAAGCCACTTGTTTGCTTTCAGACTGCAGCCAGCCAGGGCATCCACGCTCCCAGATCTGCTCCTGACTTGGGCTCAAGGCTCATGAATGAGCACAATTCAAAGCCGTGGGAAGGGCGGGACGGCCCCCACGTTTAACAGTTACTGCTCCAAACTGTCTGCAGCTTGTCTGCTTGCATCACTTTGTTTTCTCCTGCGAGCATGGCCTTTTTTAACAGAAACATGGGATTCTGAAAGATGAGATGACAGTATGAGAAAAGTAGGCTATTTTGGGAAAATGTAAGTCTAAAATTGCAGCAAAGCTGTGAGCCAGAGAACTACGTTGGCAGATTTTTTTTTTTAATAAAATTTCCAATAAGAAAATGCCTCATCCCAGTGACAGAATCAGATCTTTCTAGGAAGTCAGTTTCTGTTAATTAAACAAAACAAAACAAGCATTTATCCAAAAAGCATGATTTTGAAAAGTGAATAACAGAATAAATTCAAATTTTTTGAGAAATGTATTTTAGGACATACACAAAGATTTCACACCTAATGGGGACATCCAAAGCAATAACCCAGAAACCAAGTACAAATGCACAATATACATGCACTTATATAGTCAACAATAACACTTTCTATCAGCAAGTTCATCTTGAGATTAAAGAGGGGAAAAGTGTGTTCACTGCACTAAGTCATATCTTCTCCAAACTGACATCTTCAACACATCTGCCCTAATTTCTAATGCATTATGATGGCCCAGAGACAGCTTACATGCTTACATCTTCTAAAACACTAAAGATGTGGGAGAAATTATGCTGAGCAAAGAGCTATCGTGGCTCTGCTACATGCTTGAAGTCTGTCTGAATTCTCTCATTGTCCTTTAGTCATTTGACAAATTTGCCTATCTGAAAAACCATTTTCTAAAATATCCAGTCAAATGAAAATAAAAGTGCCTTTGTATTTCATCACATATAAGAATATTCTCACTTTATTGATGTATTCTGTGGAACTTCAAAGGAGATAAGCCGGCCTCCAGCAGAAGTATTGGAACTGGCATTTCCACAAGCCACATCTGGGGTTATCTGAAAAGAAAAATAACTTCATTTAACAATAAATCATAAAATCTGACTAAAAACATGAAAGATTTTTTTTTTTACAAATGACACTAATAGTCCAGCAGTCATCTTCTAAAAATCCTCAGGAACATTCACTGAAACCTTAATGCTGCCAAAAGAGGTGCTGAAAATTCACATAACCATCCTTTCAGGGTTTTGTTTTAATAAAAAGCTCCTGCAGAAAAGTCTGAACTTCTAAAGCTGTCTTCCTTTAAAAGTTAACATATTTAGAAAAATATGAATAGTTTTCTGGTCCTTTAGAATAATAAATGATGCTCTAATATTTGCTACATCCAAGAAATAGTTCATCATTAATCTATGCAATACTGAAGGATTTATACTAACAAATACAGACATTGCCTTTCTACCATATTGATATATGGGGTTTTTTTCCAAACACATTTTTCCTTTGAAAAACACTCTCCCACTGGCCCATTACTCTTCTTTCCAAGTAAAAATTGCTTGGACAAACAGTAGTTTCAGATGGAAAAAAAAATATGATCACAGTGAGACAAAAGGATGTATTTGCCAAATCCAGTGATGGCTAGTAGGCAAAAAAATAATTTATTACATTAACTACATCCAGACACCATACACAGTGTCATGCAACACAGGAACCACAGAGACTCCTTAATTATTCAGATCTTCGTACCAGTAATTTCCTTACGATCGTGTGAAAATTATTAGTCTTTCCAAGAGTACATTTATTTCAAATAAGGAATACTTTATGTGGCATAATTGAGTTTATCACTCAATATCATCATCAGTTTAAAATAACTTTTCATGTATCTTCATCAACTTGCCTATGAAATGTCACATTGGAAAAAAAACCAACATATCAGTTTAATCTTCAAAATTCTAGGCAGTTTGAAATGCTATTCTTTCAGCCACAGAGAATGTTTTTCAAACTGTTTGCATCAACCTTAATCTGAAAATACAAATATGCAACCTGACACACTTCCATGAATTAATCTTACATCAAAGCAAAAGCCAGGATAAAATTTGTAAATTTAAATACAATTGAAACTTTAAATATTACATGAATGTAATGAAACACACGTAAATAATACATGAACAGAAGTCCAGAATATGATGCAAGTAATAATTTTTAGGACACTCAGAGCTTATCTTGACTCAGTTAAGACAAATACTCAGTATTCACATTTCCCAAGTGAATGATTTCCCAGTATCTAGATTACTCAATTCATTGTTGAATTCCCTGATGTATACAATATGAATACATATAGTTCACGAAAATAAAGCAAGATGCACTTTTATTGTATTTTTTCGAATTAATTTTGAAAAATTATAACATATCCATTACAACTTTTAAATCTCAGAAGTCAAAATTATGGAACTAACAGTCAAAGTACAGTGCATCCAAAATTAGTTTGGCAAACACTTTTCCTTTTATATTTGCCAACATTTAAACTTTTTTTCTTTGAGAATCTGCATGCCTATTGGAACAAAGGGGAGAAAGAAATAAGTATCTCTACTCTCATACAGTCTTATACTACATCTATAACACACTCCTTTTTATAGTATTTCTATAGTTTTACAATTTCAGGGATCACACCTTAGAACATAGGGGGGAAATTGTAATGTAAGCATTTGATTTACCTTACTGTTTAATAATGGAAGTTTTTTAAGTAAAAGGTATTGATGTCTTTGCAACTAGAATAAAAATAAAAGAATCATAGAAGCAAGAGCTGAACAAAGTGGCTACAGAACAAGACCTGAGATTTAACCTTCATAAAATGTAAAAAAAAACCAATGAAACAAAAAAAGAGTTTAGTTTGCAAACACATCAGAATTTAGGATTACTCAGCAGGGAAAGCACACATAGGAAACATTGCAAAGATAATTACAAGAGTGAAGGCAAAATGCATGATTTTGACTCTTCTATTAAGAAATCTGTAATGTTCAAAGTATTTCTCTAGGAACTTCACTTGTAATTGGCCCTGACTTCCTGTTCTAAGAATCTGGTAAAAAGAAACATCTAAACCAATAGGATGCTAAACCCAGATTTTATGACAACTGAAATTTGAATTTTTTTATATATTAACAACCCTGCTACTTGAACCAGACAAAAAAACATAGGAAGAAGCAGTAACTCTCATAAGGAAAAAAAATTGTCTCAGCAGCGTCCTATTTCAGCCAAGTTCTGTGGAGACAAAAAATGACAGCTTTGACACCTGCATTAAGAAACAAATTGCAGTTTTTTCACAGCTGTGATAAATTTTTATCAAGAGTTTTAAGTGTGTCTCTTTCATGTCTTAACAGAGCACTCTGCAAAACTGTACTACTGAAGAATGAGGCCAAAGACAACCAATATATTACAGCAACAAAGGACACTCAGAAGATGAAAACAATTTGTAATTTTCACACTCAAATAGAAAAAAGGCTTCTAGAACTGGTAGGAGATATTTAAAACTGAAGTCACTGGGAAATATACTTTAATGATTTTCAGAGGACAAAAAAAAGATCATTCCTAGTCTAAAGTAAAAAATACAAATAGAGTAGGTATCTACTGTCATTTAAAGACAATCAAAAGAAAACATAACATAACTGCAATGACATCCAACACTTCTCCTGAAACATTTAATAGTACAGAAATGTCAGGACAGAGAGAAGGTTCTTGGGGAACAGACTTATAAACATTTACACAAATGATGCAGCTACTTTAAAAATAGTCACCAAAGAAAATGAAACCTTCATGCACCCTCCAGAGTCTGAAGTATGTTTAGGAGTTGATTACAAAGATAAGCTCCCGTGTCAACATAGAATACATCCAAGATGGTTCTTCAATATCTTAGAGTTAAAAATTATTAAATATCAAATTGTTGACATTAAATACAGAATTCCTCTTTACATAAGTTTCACAAGTTTGCATCTAAATCATGCTATATTTTTCTTAAAAGATAATATATAAAAACTATATTTCTGCTTCAAATGTTTTTAGACTTTACATAGGTAAAAGAGCAGCATCATTTGAGAAAGCAAGAGTGAAATCTTGAGAGTTCTCACTCCTACAATCTCCACCTGGGCCTTAACAAGCCAGCAGTGATTTTGTTAGATTTCCCTACCAGGCCATGGCAGTGGTATAGAAGAGATTGCAAAGAAAATCAGGACTGGTGCCTAAGAGAGAAATAGACTATTCTTCCATATTGCAACTTTTCTGAAGAAATTAAATAGCATGAGTTAGGCAGATATTCTCCTACCTAACAAAACCAGAATAATGAGATATACACTTAACAAGTGCTGAAACACATATATAAATCCCAAGGCAATATTTTTACATGAGTGAGTGCCTTTATTGCTTTCCTAAGTGTACTAGACTTTAATTCAATAAGGCTGAGAAGAGGAGCATACAGACTAAGCCTACATTTATGCAGCCTCTCAGTGCTGAAATTAGTTCTCTGAAGATAGCTATTGTATATGAAATTTCATAGTAGATTTCTTAAAAAGTTGAGCAGACATTTGTAATTCTACAAGGCCTTATCAACACAGGCAGACTAATCCTGACAGTGCAAAATCCAGCCCTTCTGCTGCCACGATACGTCTGCATTTCTTTTGTACCTCAGCCCCAAGTTGATAGAAGGGCAGAAAGCTTTTACTTCTTGCAAAATGCACCACACTTTCCTCAAATTTAAAAGTGGTTTGTAAGTAGGATGGCCACATATGTGCCTTAGAAAGCCCTCACTACCCTATCAATGAGGTATCAATAAATATTTCTGAAAACCAACAGATAGTTCCAGTCAGTGGAGGAGGCTGTCCAGATATCTTGTGGACCTTCCATCCTTTGAGTTACTTAAATCTCAGCTGAATAAAGTCCTGAGCAACCTGCTCTAGCTGACCCTGCTTGGAGCAAGGGTTTGGACTAGAAAAAAACCCAGAGGTGCCTTGAGCCTCACCTACACTATGAGGCTGTCAGTGAAAAGTCATCCCACAAACCAGTTGCCTATTAAGTATTCCCTGTTAATTGTCATTGTAACTTCAGTGACACCACAGCTTTCACTAAACCCCTCTCCAGCACACAGTGAAAGTGCTTCTTTTGAAAATATCCCCAAATTAACCACAAATAAGTATGAGTGCATGTGTGTGCACATTCAGACACACACAGATACCTGTGACTCAGGTACCTTCCCCCTGTTCTGAGAATGTTCTCTTTCAAAATATTGCCTTGGGAATTTTCTGTCTGGTCAACCTCTTGTTTTTTCATCTCCAAGAGCTGTTCTCCTTATTTTACCTCGTAGTGGGGCAACAGACAACTCTGCACAGTATTGCAGCCAGAGCAAAGTGGGGCAAATTAGCCAGAATTAAACAGAATTTATGAATGCACACATAATTCTTGAACTAAATAAAAAAGATGGACACAAACTCATTCAAGACATTATGTTATGAAAGGAGTGAGAAAATGAGTTTTTTGAGAAAAGCAAGGCTGTGTTCTGGGGTGGTACCCCATGAAAACTGGCATGGTCATAATGAAAGAAAACCTTTCAGTTCATCAGTAGGACAGAAACTGTCATGACAAATGCAGTATGAGGGATGGTCTTGTAAATGCTAGTTCTTTCAGATTTTCTTCCAAGGGATTTCATATTAAATTTCAGTTCAATAAAGCAAGTTTCATAACGTGCAATTTTAGCTTGTCTGAACATACAACTACTTTTTTTATCAGAATAAGGCCAGCAGGATTTATTCTCTTCTGACCCTGTAAGTGTAGCAAGAAGCATCCCTCATTTTTAAGACATATAACATTTTTGGCAGTCTTCCTTATGTAAGGAAAAAATAATACATGAAAGAAATAAAACAGGTTAGATCCTAACTATAGATCTTGAACAGCTGTTGGCAAATAAAAAGTGAAAAGAGAAGTAGGAAAATAAAAGGCAACAGAATAGAACCACAAGAGAGGGATCTAGTACTATCTTCTTAATGTCAGGATGTCAAGCAACAAAGCAGGATCATTT